ACTACATAATTAAGGGTATTCATAATCACACATATTACCTGGATAGAAGTACGTTATATTTAATGTTACCGAAAGAACTTTGCTGGAAACACAATTGTAACCAAGATACTAGCATTTTATTGCTATTTTGATAAAATAGGAAAATGGGGTAATTCCACACCTGCTCTAGGCTGGATTTTTCAAACACCACAACCAAATAATTGGTGGGCACCTTATGTTATGTCACTCAGAAACTGAATTTCTTAAATATGTTTCTACCAGACACCTTTGGCGGCAACCATTCATCATCACTGTCCGATATGGAAAAATCGGTATCCCTGCAGGATTCTCAACCACTCTACTGCTTTTCTGTGGAGTCATTTCTGAGCTAAACAAGATGGTTTATCTTTGTGCAAAACATTTGTACTCTTATTGAACACACGCACTTCATTTAACGGTTGTCTTTGTGATCGTGTGGTTTTTGCTGCTTTTGTGTAGACATCGCGAAGCCGTTGATCCATGGTATCTTTTTGACCATGTGAACTGGATGGTTTCTTTTTGTCCAAATCACTTCGATACTTACGGTCTTTGTTATTTTTATGCAAACGCCTCCGTGCTGTTATGGCTTTTTCTACCTTTGCTGCTTCTTGCTGCTTTATTCGCTCCACACGTTTTTGAGCAGTCAGACTTTCTTCCTAATGTCTTTCAGTTGTCTTTTTCTGAGTTTAGATGTGTTTTGTTTCAGAAATGATAACAGTCTGTTGTGAAAGTGTCTGATAGAGTTTCTTTTATCGATCTGCTTCTCAAAATGAGACTCTTTTCTGGATGTGGAAAGTTGAGTTACAGCTAGTTCTGTCGTCATGGCAGAATCTGTTGGCGGTACTAAAACGGCCGACTGATTCGTTTCGTTGCCGTATGCCCACACTTGTTCGGCTTGCGTCGTGCGGTTGATGTTGCTTGAACGCCGCCCACATATTCTGCAGACTCATACATAGAGGAATGAATTTTGGAAGGGTCAAACGGCATGATGCCACCTTTGCTAAATCGGGATAAAATATTTCCTTTGCTCAGACATTCACTTTCCCATAACTTCTTCAGAAGAATAGGAAATAGCTATTTAGACAAGGCTGTACCTAGGTCCTGCCCGGTAAATTTTCTCCCACTCTGTCTTTAGTGGTCCATAGACTCCCACAACAATAGGTTGTAGCAAGTGGGTTGCATTTGATGGAAGTTCCATAATTATAACACCATTTTGAATTGCTGCTCTAATGACTAATATACATATGTGAAACATGCCCATCAACAATTAATAGAACAGGTCTACCTTCTGGTAGCACTGGTATGAAATGGTTTATAAACCAGTCACTAAAATAATCACTGTCCATCCAACCTTTTTCAGAGACATTGTATCTAGCATTGTCAGGTCCATTTTGCGTCCAAGGAACCTATACTTTTGGCCACATAAAGGATATATAGGGGAAGCATGGTCCCATCAGCTCGAGTACAATTTCGTAGCTTTCTCATACCTCATGATAGCTTTCCTAACTTGAGCAACGGCTTGTTCCATTGCAGCTGTGTCATATGCTTCATCTTTACATTTGTAGTTTCTAACCATTCTGAAACCCGAAAAGAACTCTATCTTAGGCCACTCACATCCAAAAAGCTCATAAATGAACACGGGTTAAATGCACATCGTGATATGTGTAAACTGCCCCACAGGGTTTTCATATGGTTTGCATAATTTCCCCAACATGCTAGTAATTTGTCACTCACGAAGATAAAATCAGATCATAAGACAAATGATTTAAACGTGAACACTTATCAACATTATAACGACATTAATCTATATTACTCGATTTCTGACAATATAATGAGTGTTAAAACAATTATAGTCTTTTAAACCGTGTAACATGTTTACTTACATGCAGATGACTCTGCATTGCTCGTGTATTCTATATCACTAGCCGAACACTTATACATGGTGCTTATCTTATGCAAATGAGAAGCTGGCAAAATGGTGTCACGAGTAAAGGATGGTTCCTGCATTGGGAAAAACTACCTTCCATTTAAGAAAATGTTACATAACTAGGTGTGGAATTATCCCCAGTACGGGATCACCCCAACTTGCTATACAAATTTCTCGGGCACACCTTTCTTTAACAGACATTCCCAAACGGCACATCTATCAACCAAATCGGAGGTACTTTTGTTGTTAAGGAAACGACTACGGTGAGCTGCCAATATATGTGACGGTGCTCCAACAACTGATGCAAGGTGAATATGTGATCGATGCAGCCCCACCTCGACGAGATTCGGCTCGCTCCTCACGAATCTGGCCTTTACGAGTGCTAGTCATTCTGTGAAAGATGACAGAGGTAAGCAATTTGGAGGCGATGGAGGTCCGACTGATTTCGCTATGGTTGCCGAATTCCGAAACCAAGTCTCCCTTGAAAATGGGGCCAATAACGGATCGGCCCCAGTCGGTTGAGACAGTTTCCTTCTCCCCCACACGGCGAAACAGTATGCCAACATGAAGATAGATCGCGAAGGCTAGTGGTCTCACCGTGCATCAGAGATAGATACAGTTGCTTCCGTTAGTAACCATCGGAAGTTATTCCGTCTCATACGCGAACCGGGCAACACGAGACCATGTGTTATTGAAACTAGATGCTACGAGCGTGAACAGCTAGTACCCAGTTTGACAAAACGCTTGGAGTGTTGCATCCAACATTTTGAAAGGCAGTTTAATCAGTCAGAATTGCCTGTTTCTCTACCGTCCATTGATCGCTTTTCTCCCCGGGCCGTCTCTCTGGATCCACCTTAACGCGCTGAGATCAGACTGTTAAAATCGAACTGGACTGCAGGAGCAGATAGACTTCCTCCAGACCTCTTCAAAATCGGACAATGTGCACTTGTGGATGATTTGTACAACTTTCTAATGAAGCTTGATGAGCAGGAAGCTGTTCCAGTAAACCGGGACCGCTTTGTTATATCCCAAATTTTCCTGAGAGGCCCGTTCGGAATGCGGCAATCCTAGAGGTTTCAGACTGACCCCAATTGCCCCTAAGATACCCACTTCTGTCGCCCTCCATAGACTGACTATCACCCGTGGAAGCTAGATTCTCGAGGAGCAAGCCGCGTGTCGTCAAAATCGGGGGTGTATTGCCCACAGCTCCATTTTACCACAATTATTGGAACACCGCCATATTTCTCGTCTTGTTCCTCGACATCCAAAGTGCCTTCGATTCGGTTGTTCAATGTGCTCCTTGGGATTGTCTAATTAGGAAAGATGTACCCAAAAAGTACGTAAACATCAAAGTGCTTTACATGCGTTTGTGTTGTGAGATTTTTGTCTACTCCCTTCCACTTTTCTTCCCCCTCCAACCATGATCTCAGTCCTGAAGCATAATATTTTATTAAGCAATATCTTACCTGTTCCTCTATGTTTTGCATCTCGTTTTTTCATCTGTCTTATATCTTGTTTTGCGGCACAATAGTTGATGTCTGTTTCTTATCTTCGATTTATGTGTAATGACGATAATGTTAATGATTGTTGTTCAGTTATGGCTATTATCTTTCGCGATGGACTAGAAGCGCACCCAGAGCGCTTCAGATCCATATTGAAGTTAATAAAGATTCCTATCTGGCGAACAACATACTTGTCGTTAATGCATTTTCTTCTGATCGGAGGCCAGTCAAACTCTTACGAAAGCTCTTGAGATTTCGCCCATTATCATTCATTTTACGCGTTGGCCAGAGGTGTGAAACAACCCAGACACTGTGCCACCATTGGATTATGCAAATGGGTAGTTTACCGGACTCTTCCGATGAGACTAGCGCCACACTAATTTTCGCATAACGTCCTCTGACTTTTTCTACTAAACCCGATAACTGGTACCTACCAGTCGAAGGGAATTTGCTTCTCTACTCTGAAACAGAATTCCGATATATTTCCTTCTCTTCTGTATTGTTTGTTGGTGGTAGTAAAAGAAGTATGACATCTCAGAACGGCGAGATTTTATCTTTTCACTACATCTCAAGATTATCAACCTTATAGCAGAAGCTCGAGGTGCTTTTGCCAATCTCCGCCACTTTGGCGCCAGTGCGACCTCACTCGTCCTGGAAGATGGAGTCTACAATGCAGTCATACCTTCGACCCCACTGTACGGCTGCAAAACCCGGCCCATCAGACGTGGAGGCTAGGTGCGTTCGATCTCCGCTGTCTTCGCAGCTTAGCTCACGTCTGGTAGAAACACCGCGTGAGCAACGAATGCGTTTGGTACCGTGTATTTGGCGCCGGAAAAGAGTGAACCGCTGAGCATGCTCCGATGGCTAGGCCACGTATTGTGCATACCAGCCCACTGTCTTCCGCGACGTGCTTTGCTTGCGCAACTGGGGTCTAGACGAAAAAAGAGGGGAGGCCTAGCGATCACTTGTTCAAGAGGAATAAAGGCCCTCACTGAAGTTGGCTGCGGTTAATGTCTTCCGACTACAAAGTTGGGTTTCCCAATGATGATAAACACGTTAGGTTGGGTACAGTTGCTGATCTGGTGAATAGCGGGCCTCAGTAGTGTTTGCACTGTTAGTTTCTTTATCCCTCTCCCTCCCGCTTATCTTCCCTCTACAGCCACTTTCTCACACCTGATGCGTAATGTGATACTAAGCATCATGTTACTTTTTCGGTTCTGTACTGTTTTCATCTGGCTTTTCGCATACATCGAATCTTTTTGTATTGTGGCACATTGGCTGAGTTGTTTTTCTCACCTCCAGCTAGTGTGTAATAATGATGGTAATGATCTTAGGTCGCCTATATTATTCCGTCTGTGACAAAAATACCATGGAAGCATTGCTTTTCCGTTCTGTTCGTTCGTTCCACCATGAACGGACAGCCCCTCACTTTGATGTTGCATCATCAGACGTAGCCCACTTGACCGTGCTATTTCTTAAAAAGTACAGATATGTTAATCGGTTCATTAGCTTCACCATCGAGAATATGCGCCTTTTACTTCTTTTATGTTTCAGGAATCGTCTGTCTATGAAATGATTACTTAGAGTCGAGTACACTCGTCTGGACAGCTGAGCAATGATTAATGCAAACGTGGAAAATTTTGTCAGTTGTTACGTGGAAACACTACAAATTGTTCCACAACGAATGCAGGCCGAGATAAGCGCATATTTACAATCGGACCTACAACATCTGCGTCTGATGAGTTTGTGCAAACGGTATGTGAACGACCTGTGCAGATCTTCTTCTTCTCAAGAGAGAAAGAGTTTGGTTCAGCAGCTAATTTTTTGCTTGAGTGCAATTCAAGATATATGTGATCGAAGAGCTCCCATGATCAACGAGGTGAGACCATCTGGTTTACATCAGTTATTGGGCTTTTCATGACGTTTTATTTGACAGTTCCGTTTGGTTAGACAGCCTTGCACCTAGTATCGCATTTCGATTATCCCAGTGACCTCAATAATAACAGTGATCAATAATATAATGAACAGTGAACTGCGCGTCGATTAGGCCAAAAAGGTTGGGCAACTGATTTGGAATTACCTGGGTCGGAGTACTAACAATTAGTTGCATGAAGTCGCGTGCGAACTATCTTTATGACTGCACTGATCAGAGCATTTTGCTATCGATGTGACAGCCTGAAGCTCTTACTATGCCAGACACTGATTCTCTAAGGTGGATGGAAGCACATCTTACACAAGGCTTTGCACATTTTACGAGATTCTCCCATTCTTCTTCATCTCATCTGAAAATTATTCTGACCACCCTTTGTTCCAGCCCAACCGTTTTCTGTTGGATGGTTTATTTCGGAGACATCGCATTTATGGTTTCACCGGGCAAACTTCATCTATTTTTCCTAGTCTTGTCGTTTTCATGTTCCACAAACACCGTCACCATATTGCATCTTGACCGATTTTTTAGCTAGGTTGTCATTCATTGTGTTAACCCACTTTTTTGTTTAGATATTTGAGGTCCTTCGCCCCCCCCCCATGCTGGCATTCAATTCTCACTCGTGCTGTTGTGGTTCATTAAATCTATCTGCACTGCGAAGCCTTTATCGGACACTGTCTCTGCCTTTCTTCCTAGCCCACATCCATCCGAGCCTCAGGGTGTTATTCTAAACTTAAGACGTCGGTTTGATCTGTTTTCGACTCGTCACTTTTCAGTCTACTCGGGACTCCTCTGCTACTGACTCCTGTCGCACGCGTACCTACTTTTGGGGCACCGCAGCTTTAACCAACAATCCTTGGCACAACAAAGTTGAGCTATGTCGTTGGGTTAGGCATCATCTATGGAGGAAGTAGATGAACCATTTGTCCGGCACAAGCATCCCCAGTGTGCTATGAGGCTTTCCGAATTTGGCAACATCTTGAAAAATCCTTGGAGCCGATCCAAAGCTCATGATTTCAGAAGGGTTTGAAAATAACTAGTTGGTATACTTTGAGGGAGTCTTAGTCTCAAACCCCTCCTAACCATCTTGACATTATCCAAGTCCATTTCTGGGCCTGCATCTGTTGCGTGCATCACTACCGTAAAATCTCTTAGTAGAGTCCTATATTCATGCTCGTTCCTCAGCGGCCCTGCCATGCGCCTCTTCTGCTCTGGTTTCCTGGTGCCCAGCTCTCTTGCGGTTCATCTTACCTCCATCTGTGGCAGGTTTTTGCATCGATATTGTAGGCGCAATTAGTTGTCCTGTCTGCGGGAAGTGGATTCTCCAAATGCACCAGTGTCGAACGGAGTCTTTGACCGTGGCGACGAGACTGGAGCATAACGTGGTTCTAGGATTTGTGTAACTCTTCGACTCATTGAGCTGTACTGGGTGGTGACTTCGGGTCTCTCTAGAGCTACTCCCACCAAGTTGATCAATGCTTAAACTTCAGACAAACTCTATCTCTGCTCCTTGATGTTGGGGGTCGGAAATGGGATAACATCCATTACTGCAAAATCCGCGTAGGGGTGGGCGTCCTCGCGGTATACTCAGCCCGCGCGCGACTGGTGGTGGTCGCGCGGCAGCGAAGCGCCGTTACGGCGTACAGCTGACACATTATTATTATTATTATTATTATTATTATTATTATTATTGTTATTATTATTATTACTGCAAAACTGAATCGCTACCGTCCGCTGTCTTGCAGACTGGCTTTAGAGCCAAAAGCTTTGGTTGAAAACTCTAACCGATCTCCTGTCTAGTTTTTGGCACCTTGGCAGTATTTCAATCCAAGTGCAACCATGGCTATTTCATTAAAATTTTATTCATACCCTGAATCCGGCTGTCGTGTAGTTTTAAAAGGGTCCACTTACCTGTGGGTTTCGGTGTTGCTCTCTCCCACACACATGGTGAGTACTCCAAAACCCAACATTCGTCTCCTTAATTGCTGCATACAGCAGGGCAGATAAGCGCAAACATGCTATCGCTGATGCATCCTTTCATTTTTCCACCTGTTTGTCTTACTTCCCTCTCGACCCCCATTAATAATCTTCATCCGATAACTCACAGCTCAGTTGGTAGCAGCCGTAATACCACTAGAGTTCTACCATCTACAGGTATCTTCCCGCATCACCTACTGGACGCCTATCGGCAATAGCCTCTCATAAGGTCACGTTGTCGCGTTTTCACGGCACCATTTAACGTTCACACTCTAAAGCAAACAGTTTACCAGGCTGCACTCACCCACAGGTTGGACACCCTATTACCAATGACTCACATGGTTGTTAAATTAGCTTGCACCCGGTTTGTTGTGGGGGATATGGATACGCAAGTAGTTTGTCTGAGGTGGTTGGTAAGTATGGGCCTATCTCCGACCGAACGGACAATAGCGAGCGTCTGTTGCATCTGTGCGCGAAGCACCGGTTGCTTCTTGGCAGTACTGCTTTTAGATACAGTCGGCGCCAAAGTGCCACTTGGGCTCCAATAGCTGGACACAAATAGATCATGTTACCCTAAGTTACAGATGGCGTTGTTCTATCCTAGACTACCGCTCGTTCTAGAATACCGGCATCTACTCTGATCATCGTTTGGTGCTCTGTCATCTCTCCATGAGCTCTACTGGAAGGCGTACCAAATGTCTCCTACAATTGGTAACCGATCCTCGATCACGCAAGGCTGCCAGGATGTCCTGCTTTTCGAACTATCACTCATTTGATATCCGAGATGTCGGTGAACCTTTTGGAATTCATAAGAAAACTCCATGCTTTGAGCACAGTGTAACCAGACAGACTATTCGGCACGAACTCATGCGGAGCCTGCGCGCTGACAAGAAATCCTGGTGGACCATTGGGATCCAATAAACAAGGAGGCGGGAGCAGTCGGTAGTTATTGTAAAAAATTTTAAGTAATCCGTACTTCTGATGACACGTAGCAAACGTCAGCGAGACAATCAGAGACAGTGCGTGTTCCCTAATTCACAATAAGGAGTGCCGCATGGATCATTGGGCAGAACACTTCCAAGAGCAGTTCAGTTGGCTACGTGCTCCAGTACCGCTTTCTACTTAGGTAGTGCAGGCTGACCCATGACCCATTAGTTCAGTCGCTCCATCAGAGATTGAGCTCCTTACTCCTGTTCGAACTATCAGTCCAGCTTCTCCCGCACTTGCACCAAATGACGATGGTGGTGAGGTCCTCTACGAATTACTGACCACCCTGTTCGAACAAGTTTGGTAGGAAGAGACCATTTCAAATAACGAGTGAATCGATTGTTGTGCTATACAAGAAAGGCAGTCGCATCATCATCAATACACGTTGGCCAAGGGTAAAAAACATGCCTCAGCTCATGTGCCGCAATAGAAAAATAGATAAGAGATCAAACAATGCAGACTAAAGCCAAATATCACATGCATACAGTTTAAGGTCGTTGTTGTAGGGGGAAGCTAAAGGTGAGGGGGATGAGCGAAGAAATTCACAACATTAACGTCACTGAGGTCGGCTCTTTGCCAAGTCAGGTAATGTATCCAACCAAACATGTTCATCATCCTTCGGACCCCAGCCCGGCGCTAAGTTTGAAGTGAGGGATTGCATTCCACTTGACCTCCCCTCTTTTTTCTCTCCATCCACACCCCGGTCGCGCAAACAACCCACTTCGCGGGAGTCGGCGTGCTAGCATGCGCAGCTGAGAGATTTACTCACTGTTCCTGTGTTAAATACGCGGCGCTGAACACGCTAATTACTCATGCGATGCTCCCACCAGACATGAGCTAAGCTGCTAAGACAGCGATGGTCGGACGTAGCTTACGTCTGCCGACCTGATGGGCTAGGTTTCCCAAGTGTATAGGAAGGTTGGACGAATGGCCGCATTGTAAATTTCGCCCTTCAGAACGACAGCAATGTCATGCTGGTGCCAAAGGTGGCGGAGATTGGCAAGAGCGCCTCGATATTTTGCTATACGGTTCGTGATATCTTCGATCCCAAGGGCACTAATATGGCTGCTTAGATACTTAAATTTTTGAACAAATTCTAGCTGATCACCGTCAAGAATCAGCTCATGAGTGGGTCTCTTCCAATCCTGAAGAAGGACTTTGCAGTTCGATGGTGCAAAGTATAGCTCGAAATGACTGGCAGCCCGAGCTAATTTGTCTAGTGCAACTTGCCACGTTTGGGAGCTTTCACAGATTAGGGCAATGTCGTCAGCATACTCCAAGTCAAGAAGTCGTTCACCAGGTAGCAGCTCCATACCTAAGTTGTGCCCGGCTAATGGCGTTTCCATGACTTCATCATTGGGAAAGTTAAAGAGGAAAGGTTACAGCTGAAAATATTGTAGGGCGACGAGAGTGTGCCGTAAACCCTCACTTTGCTGGAACTGTGCGCGTACAGCTCTCTCATCATCGCTGTTGTACAAACAGGGTGAACTACGAAACGAAGAGCAATAAGAGGGAGAGGTGACCTACGGTAAAACCTAAATGCCATGAACAAACACTCGTGCCCATGGCGCCTGCACCTTGTTAACAACATGCCGTCACAAACAGCTGGCTATCGTGCAAAGGCAAGGCGGAATCAGCGAGGTAGCTTTCTCGCGGCATCCACTGCCCCGCGTAATACTCAGCCGTTACCCCGGAGATAACTCAGCACCAAACACGTATTAAACAGGCAGTCTGACTAGGGAGCAACAGCAGACACGCCACTGATGTCGACCGTGAGTCATGTTCTTTAAAGTTTCAACTCAAGCACAAGGCGAGTCACATGGATTCCAGTCTGGAAGTCTAGACGGACCGATGGCGCCGTGTTATGTCGTCAGTGACTTCATTTCCCGCTATCAAATCCATTTCTGTCGAACTCTGGCCTTGCGCCATCCTACTTCTGGCAAACAAAACAAGGCCCTCCTCGATAAGCGGTGACAGGGCATGCGTAG